GATATGGTGCGGATGCATGACCGAGCTCCTTCAGCTGGATGAGTCCACTAAAACATATGGTCAGCATCCAATGTCGAAAACTTAGGGCTATTTATTTTGGGGATTTGTTTACCGCTACAGATCCAGTTTCCAAGGAATCGACCTTCTGAAACTCACCGAGCTTCAAAAAGAAGATAATGATCTTCAGCACGAGTTATCGTCCACAACACTTAAACTACGCATCAAACAGATGGGAACAGGTAAGGAAACCTTACTGTGTGACACATCTACAGGTAGGGATCGCCCAATCGTGCCGAAACATTATCGACGCAATGTCTTCAATACATTGCACAAACTTTCTCATCCGTGCAACCATCAAGCATACAGCAGAACGGTTTTGCTGGCCTGGAAGGAATAAAGACGTGAGGGAGTGGGCACGCTCCTGTGTAAACTGCCAGAAATCCAAGGTTATCAGACACAAGAAATGTCCCTTAGGCTCATTTAAAACTCCCGATGCTCATTTCGACCATGTTCATCTGGATTTGGTAGGACCTTTACCAGATTCAAATGGATACGCCTACCTCTTAACCTGCGTAGACCGTTTCACTCAATGGCCAGAAGCAGTACCTATCAAGGACATCACCGCTGAAACAGTGGCTTGCGCCTTCGTCGAACGATGGGTAGCAAACTTCGGCTGCCCTTCAACCATCACTACAGACCGCGGACGTCAGTTTGAATCTGAATTTTTCCGTCGTCTGACCACATTTTTAGGAATCACTCGCTTCCGAACGACCGCCCACCATCCACAAGCATACGGGTTGGTAGAACGCTTTCACCGACACCTAAAAGCTTCACTATCAGCTGCAAACGTTTCACAGTGGACCGATGCTCTTCCACTCGTCTTACTACGTATCCGCAATGCAGTGAAAACTGACATTGGATACACTGCGGCTCAACTCGTTTATGGAACGACACTTCGACTTCCAGGAGAGTTCGTGGATCCTTCGTCCTCTTCAATGAACATGGATCTAACCTCCTACACGAACAGGCTTACAAACGCAATGCGTTCAGTTAAACCTGCTTCCACTCGACCTCAATCAACTGATGTTTTCGTTCAACCTGACTTACGACATAGTACACACGTTTTCGTTCGCCGAGACTCGCATCGACGACCATTCGAATCAGCATACGAAGGACTCTTCAAAGTTCTTCAACGTGAATCTAAGTACTATATAGTCGTCAAGAACGGAACAAATGATAGCATCAGCATCGATCGCTTAAAAGCAGCGTATTTAGAAGGAAATCCTATTCACGTCGATTTTCCTTCGGTACAATCGCACAACACGACTCCTACACTCATAATTCCTCAACCGACAACCAACACTAGCAATGATACTCCGAATGTATCTGAAAATAAACTTAAAACGACGCGTTCTGGAAGAAGAGCAAGATTTCCAGAACATTTAAACGACTACTGCACGTAAGGCACTACTCGACATTTTATATTATCTCGATTTTTCTTTTTACGATATATAATATTTAAAAAAACAATTTTAATATGCCTATATATTTATATTTTTATTTCTAAAAAAAACAAAAAAATTATTTTTTTAACGCTATTACGTGTGCTTGAGTTTATTTTCCATTTTGTTTCGCCGACATTCTGTTTTTACACACATACGAGTGTATTTCGACATGCACTTACATTTACTTTTTTCTTTTCCAGGGCGGCTGGAAAAGAACGATGCAGTTTACGAGGAGTTGAAATTTTCGTTGTAACTTTTTCTTTTTTTACTATGTTGTACCTCGGTCTCATATAGTAAGGAAAGACGACCAGACGCTGCTACACTTAGTAAGCTATCAGAAGAGTGTTTACCAACGACAAACTCGTTGGGTTTAAACTTCTGGCTGGCCACGTCTTAGGGTCGTCACTGCCCCACTAGGGGGAGTGATCTGTAGCGGTAAACAAATCCCCAAAATAAATAGCCCTAAGTTTTCGACATTGGATGCTGACCATATGTTTTAGTGGACTCATCCAGCTGAAGGCGCTCGGTCAGGCATCTGCATCAGATCACGTGTGGTAACGCCGTGCTCAACATCAACCGCAATCGCTAGCCAGATTAGATCATCGCCAAATATACTCTTCCGATCTCCTCGACTCTGTCTTTTGATTTCTCTGGGTGGGAACGAAATATATTAGAAGGTGTTACTGGTAGAAGCGTTGTCAAACACTGAATACCTGTGACATCATCAGGCATATATTTGTCACTTTCTCTCCGTAAATAAGTCAAAAAATCTTGAGCGGCATGATAGATTAGTTCGAAAAACCCACGAGCTAACAGAATTCCTGTGAAATATAGATATCCCACCAGGTGATCACTTGTTAGAACTAACTACTTTATAAATTATTATTACCCATCTAAACAAGGAATAGTATGACCATTTACCTTTCATTCGTCCCTAGTTTGGAGGTAAATTACTTGCTATAGGTATTTTGATGAGCTATGTATTTTTGAGGAACTGAGAGAGAAAAAAATGGAGAGGTGAGTTAAAAACTCAGTTATCACATAGAATCAGTTTCTATATAATAACCAAAGAAGTCGATGAAAATCGGTAATGAAACATTTTGTAATATTTTAGTATCCTTATATCTGACTCTAATAGGATAGTATGAATATCTGCTATCGAAATCCTCGTATATAATTATCGACTCACCAACGTTTTAGTTAAAATATAGGAGAGAATAATCAAAAAGACCATAATGAAATTTGAGAAAAGCAATAACTTGTTAAACAGAGAACAACATGGTTTCAGAAAAAGTTTATCTTGCGCAACAAACTTCCTTATAGCAAGGGAGTATTGGATAAAGGCGCTAGAAAACAGAAACTCAGTAAATGTTCTCTACATAGAATTCAATAAGACACTTTACAAGGTGCCAATAAATAGAATGCTATTGAAGTAAGAAAATCTTGTTATTGCCTGACTTCTTTTAAAATGGCTTAAGAATCACCCAGTAGGTCGAGGAAAGAAAGTAAGAGTAGATTCCAAGTGCTCCACGTGGAGATCAACACTTAGTGGAGTACCTCAAGGTTCTGTCTTAGGTCTTTTGCTTTTTATACTGTATGTAAGTGATCTCCTAAGTTTAGTACAGTCCCTACTGTTATTGTACTCTGACAATGTAAAAATCTGGTAAGTAATAATGGGAGACGTAGATATATGCACACATCAGGCAGACTGAAATAATGTGATTGACTGGTCTAAGTCTAAAAAAAAATTAGGAGTCCTGGAGCCATACGATTTAAAGTCTTACGCTAACTGTGACAACAATGCCTTCCGAGCAAACCTTGCACTGGTAACATTGAAGCGCACTTTTGGCCAGTTTGACGGAAGAACCTTCCATATAATCTTCAGTAGTTTTATCCGTCCCCATTTAGTGTACGGAAACATAGTATTTCCCCCCTCATTTCAAAAGGATAAGGACACTGTGGAGCGTATCCAATGGCGAGCCACGAAATCAGTTCGAGGACTCAAATTTCAACCTTACGAAGAGCGCCTCCGTTCACTTAACCTTTACCCATTAGAGTAAAGACGTCTTAGAGGTGACCTTCTGATGGCTTATAGTGTCCTTAACACTTCTGGACATCCTCTCAAACACTTACTTAAGCTTGGTTCCAACACTAACCTAGGAGGTAGCACCCAAAACTGGAGACACAACATAGCAGAACGGACTGTAGACACAACTTCTACTCCTTAAGAGTTGTCAACTACTGGAATTCGCTGCCAGCCGAGCTAGTCCAAGCGTCTTCTCAGGAGTCCTTTAAGAGGCAACTTGATCTATTCTTAAGGACTAAGGATTGTATCACACTATGATTTACTAATTTCTTTTCCTCTTTTATTGTTAACATACCTTGGTTCCCGCCTGGAGGATTTGGTGATCCCTTTCTACTAGACACGGAAGCTTATTAAGCGAAAGCTTCTTCTATTCCGTCCACAACCATTCGAACCATTTATTTACTCTTACCTATCGCAGATCAAGGGGTGATCTGATTTTGATTTATAGAATACTAAGAAATGATTTTGGACCTAACATATTCCCTATTTTAATTCCCACTAGATCAGAACATCCCAGAGAACATAGCAGTGAGTAGAAAATGCAATAACAAACAAAATACAGGTTTTCACACCGAGTCATCAATTCTTTGAACCTTTTATCCGAAGACGTGGCGTCCTCACCTACAATTGACTCGTTCAAGCGAAGACTGGACACCCATAAAGGCATACTAGGAAGGGAATAACATAAGTTGTAGGCCTTCTGTCCTTACTACACAAATCTGAATCTGAACGAAGGCTTATGGTTCTTTTACGAAAATTCTGTTTATAAAGAAATCTCCACTTACACGTGGTTGCGATTTATTTTTTCTGATTACTTTAGTTGTCCAGTTCATTGGTATTTTGATTTTGTTTGACATAGCACTGTGCATACTTTGTTGTAATTTTTGTTTTCATCATATCTTCACTGAATTTCCATGTTTTTCATTAACTACATCTATGTTGTTTTAGTTGATATTTGATTGTGGCGACTGCCATATTGACTTACTCTCGTTTTTGTTGGTGTTGCTTGAAGTGACCACAATAGTGTATATTTGATTGTGCATGATGGTACTCTTTCAGTATTGGAAACACTTTATGTTATGAAAGCTCCACGACCAAACCATCCAGCTCAGAGAACAGAACTCCATCCAAATCATCTACTTGAGCAACAGTTCTCCACCATTTCCTGGTGATTACAAAAATAAATGTTATATTTAAACAACAGAACAAATTTAATTCAACATGTAAATAACTAAAATTATTTTAATAAACAATCAATATCACTTCTTAAAAATAAGTTACTGTAAAGAAAACAATGCAATCGTGATTTAAAAAAAAGTAAAACGATCAACAACAAAACACGTTGATGACTATATAACAGTAAGGAAAGAAGTAATGTATTCAGTTAATTGAAGTTGCATTTATAAAATGGTGCACAATTATCTGTATAACTCCTGGTAGCTAAATAATATATCCCATTTAAAATAATCGGAATGATGAAGAGCAATGTAGAAAAGGAAGTTTGAAAGATAATCAAAATCTCCATTTGATCATAAATTCCTTACTTAAAGTTAAAAAGGATTGATTTTTAATTTGACAAGTTTCCAAATCATTATCAAACATAAAATCTACCGGTTTGTTGTTTACAAGAATTGCTGCAGGCTTTTTAATGAAACCTACTATAAGAATAATCTTAACATCTAGTTCTTTCAAATCAATTTTCTCTAAGCTTTCAACACTCGACGGTGTAGAAGTCACTGTTAAAGTACGATCACGTACTTCAAATTTCACATGTACATAATTTAAATTAGCATCATCTCCATTATCCCAGAATAATTCACCCGATGCTTTGATTCTCTGTCCAGCAGCACTACTTTCATCATCAGTTGAAGACAAGATCACAAATAAACCAAATCCCTTCTTACGAGCGATATCTGTTGTTTCAGCAGAAACCTGTATTGGAACTATACACCCACAACGAATAGAAATCGGAATGACATTCAGAGGAGCATCGAAATATTTCCATGTACCTCGACTGAAATACCGTTTGCCAGTGGATAGTTCAATCCATTCTCCTGATGGAACGTAACCCTCAACGAATGTCCGACCCTCATCTAGCACTGGAGTAACCAAGATACACGATCCGAGCATGAATTGTGAATCGACTTTATGTGTGGCCGAGTCTTCAGGGAACTCGAATGCGAGGGCACGAGCCACAGTTGTCCCATTTAAGTACGATCTATAAAATAAAGTGTATATATACGGTAGTAAGTGGTATCTTAACTTCAAGGATTCCAAACATTTATTCGTGATCTATTCAGAAATGATAGAATAAAATTTCTATGTTGATTGGAAGATTTATTTGCTGCACTTTATTTGACTACCGGATGAACAATTATTGGTTAAATAATTGAGTGGCAATATTTGTCTGGAACACCGCGGAGGTTAAGCCATGGGTTCGTGCGCACGTATTGCTTGTAATCAGTTGTGAACACCATTTCTGCCGTCCTAAGTCAATTTTCGTAGTGTTCATGCTTGTTATATAGCTTGTATTACATTAAGTAATGATTTGGCCTAGTTGTGGTTCACTATGTGGGTGAATGTTAGCCCAAATTGCATGTGGTTACATGTATCAATCTAGATTCAAGCAAGTGAAGTGCACTATTTACCGAATCAGAAATAGATTATTTAAACAGAAATCGACTCTAAAAACCTTCAGCACATGATTTACCACTTTAAACGATGTTGATAAACAAGGATGACTAGTATATGTTTCTTTAATTCAAGTTGAGTCAATTCTATGTTAAATAATTTTTCGAAATCATATAGGTTTCTAGTATACAACCATACACAATTCTAACCATCTTAGGTATCAGTGTTATTAACAGAACTGACATATTATTATGTAAGAAATCTGAGAGAAATTATATGAATAATGATTGACGTTGACAGCTGTTCCTGACCGCTTTCTGCACACATACAGCGACTGGATGTAGCACCGCTGGGAAAGCCTCATTATTCAGTCACACGTTATTCATAAGTAAAACTATGTATGTTTGTTTTGAGCATGGTAAGTGAATTATGCTATTAGTGAATGCAAACTTATGTTTATAACAGGTATTGCAAATCAATTCCTGTATATTGCACCTGCACCGCAACAAGCAATAATAATAATTTATTCTTAAATAACATTTTTTATGTGAGGCATACCAGTTTACAGGCAAGATCAAATTGTTACAAACGATACAGTCATCATTGTGATGAGTTACTCAGTTAGTTTGATATTTTACAAGGTACATTGATCGTAAAAGTATGAAGGATAATACTTCGCACATATGAATGCAAATAATCTTAGTAAGATCCGTATTGCCAGTGTGACAGTTGGCGAGCTATATGGAGGTTGCGTTGCGATGTGCAGCAGACAGCAGGGAGTAAATACATTTAAATTCGAAAGTTTCTATAAACTGTGATTTTATATCCCTTTGGAACATTAAAGGAATTATTGATGACGCAGGACAAAGTTACCCATACTGAAAGGGCTGAAAAAAGGATAATAAAAGACAGAACGAGAGGCAAAACATACAATGTTCATGCATAATGAAACTGAGTCATTTGTAATGAAATAATGAAGGTATGACTACTTAGTCTAATTTTGTATTATTAGGGTACTTTTAAAACAATAGCATTCTAGTAGGTTAAAGAAAACGAACATAAAAATGGAGGTAGTTCAAAAAGAAGCTGAAAATATAGGATTATGTGAAGTCTTGAAATACAGTACTGAAAACGGTATTCTGATGCATAGATGGCTATCTCCCTTTTTTCGGAGCTGTTTAAGCTCACTTTTATTTTTATTTATTTTAAAGAGTCATGAGCACGCTTAGACTTTAGCAAAGTTTTTAGTTTTGCTTGTAATATAATTACTCGGTAGGAAATAAAACCAATTCAGCGTCACAAACACGAGGTATTTTGTTTAGTAATTTAGCACTAATACCATTGGTTCGTGGCATCCCACATGACAATAAGGAAACAGAATTTAACAAAATGTTATGTTTTACAGACATGGGTGGATCTTAAGCAAGTCCTCACAGATTAAATTCCGGTTCTATCCTGTTGGGGATATTTCCGTTGGTGTTCAGAAATTCGACAGCTGTATTCAGTAGTCACCTTTTACAATACGGTGAGTCGTCAGAACAAGAGAAACTTTGGGTCACATAGTCCCTAGTATTCAGTGTTGAGGAATATCACGATTTTTATTTGATTTTTCATTAGTATACGTTCCCATAAATACTTACTAATAGATAAGTAAGTGATTGTTGTACATGATTGGCTGGAAGAACTATCTTACTACATGTACAATCCACTCATTTCCGTCTGTAATAATGTCTGAGAAAATCTGTCTATATTTTTCTTGTTGACTGTAATTTTCTTCGCTCTTTTCGTGTATTGCTCATTTTTTTGTCGACAATATCAATGCATATTTCGTTTCCTCTTTTGGTTTATTCGCAATTATTATATATGATTTACAAAGTATGTCCAAGTCTTGTGTGTTGCTATTGTCTCACTCTGGTTTCACCTAACATTTTTAAAAATTCTGGCTACAGTTGTTCTGAGAACCATACATTTCTATCAAATCTATCCGATTGATTGCTTTCTCCTATTCTTGTCGGAAGAAAATTGTGTTGTTTTATTTATGGAGAATAAGCACTACTTAATATAGCAACTGCTTGTTATTCAAAACATGTTAATATTATCTCTCTTCAGGCAAAATCTTGTTTTGATTTTTAAGAAACCCATTTTTTCCTTATCAAATTAACACGTATGCAATTGTTTTACCTTCTGACTTTTGTTGTCAGTGAGAAAACCATTCAGTACGAAAACCAATGCCACTTTTGTACGATTTTATATCAGAAATAATGGTCGATCTCTTCTTTTAAATACTTGAGCTGGAATTCACGACTGAATAATTCTTTGAACTGAACTGTAGAGTTTATTGTGGCTTCCGAGTTTAACACTGTGTATAAATTAACCTAATAGAACAGATTCTAATTTTGTTAGTTCGTTTCATAAATTCAAGACCAAACGATGAATTTCAGTGAATACACTGATAAAAATGTATTTTCAGGTTTTTGGTGCGAGGCTTGCATCAAATGCGTTTTTCTTCCACATATATTTTATTCATACCAGACAGGGTTTCTGATTAAAAATACGGATTTTAAATTATACTTACTGAAACAATTCGACTTTTTAGGTTCATCTTATATCCATCACGTTTATATGATTCATACAAAATGATACGTAGATTTATGACTCCAAACGATATAAGCACGTTTATCTTTGTTGCCATAATAGTGGACCTAATCCCAAAATTGTAGATTTATCATGAAGCGACTACATAATCTTTAAGATCTTATGTGAAAGTCCTACTATTGTCTGCACCAAATAATCCTATCATAACGATCAGCAATATGACGTTCAGCACTTCCGGGGAACACATTTGAGCTGTGGAAAAAGTAATTTATTGCATACAAAAAGTAATAGGTTGTAAAGTGTGGCCACCCTTTCAAGACTGAAAGATGTCATTTCAATCAATCATTTCTGAGTTCACTATCTTTGACCATCTCTCCGTGTTACATGTTGAATGTGAAGCTTCTCGGTAATCATATGTTCACCTTCTGGGATCATGTGTTGATGAACCGAGCAAATTGCTTGGGTATGCTATACAACGATAGAACCTGAAAAAACACTTCCAATCTCAAAGAAATTTTAGCTAGTTGAGCAAGTATCTTTGTACAATGTTTCGAGGTATTTGAATTATAGTACGAACTAAGAGTCCTAGAAATAACGCAATTAGATCAAGAAGTACTCGATAAGCAGGAACGAATGTATTGTAATTAGAATTCGAAATCAAGCATTCAACAAGTACAAAGGAATGATTATTTCATTCAAACATCACATCCGCCATAGCTTAAATTAGAGTCTAAGTGTCTGTAATCGATTGTACGCCTTCTTAAGTTCATCCATTGTCTGTCCGACTGTGTATTGCATAAAAACTCGGTATTATCTAGAATGTGCTCATTAATATTGGAATTAACAACCGAAATCGGAACAGACTCACCTGGAATTGTATACAATCACCATGTTGGTTTTGTAATGAAATAATTAATATTTAGAATTCGAACCATATATTTTTCAACACTATCCTCCCCCACGAAATAAAGTTGGGTCTTTATATCCCCAAGTGTAGAATCCAAACTACGGTTTGGATGTTGAAGAATAGCCGACCGGGGACTTTAGACACGCGCCCTTTCCCGTCGAAATCAAAACAAGTAATCGGGTAAATAGCGGTTCTATAATTCATCATAAATTTAAATGTAAATCGTTACCTAAACAAATATTACCACCCGGCTATTCAACCAATAATTGTTCAATCAATCAAATCAGTCAAAACAAATGAACGTTATTCTATCTTGACTGGATAGAACACACACACAAAAGGAGGAGCAAATGAATATGGCTACCGCCAAGAACAAGTGTCAAGTAAAACAACACAGATGCAGTTCAGGAAGAAACACAAACTTAGTGAATGCGTAAGAAAAACAAAAACTATAATAGAAAATGCAAGTATTAACAATTCAAATGTAATCAAAATACAACAATGTACAACTAAGGGGATCAATAGGAACAAAGTACAAGTATATACATGGAGGGATTTTCACCAACACACAAAACCTTCAAAATGGATCTTACACCAAGTTATAAATGATGTGGCTTCAATTAAAACATATTTGATCACAAAGTCTTGTGAGTTTCTCAATGTTTTATTTTTCTCACCACAAAATCTTTTTCTTTTTCCTACAATTTTATACCCACTCATATCTTTTGATTTACTATTAATCCTTACTTCTTTAAACCATTAGTTATTTTCATAGCAGTGTGATATACTATATGGACATCTAACCCATAAAACAGAATTTTTAAATATCTGACTTGCTTGTAACATGGACCTAGTAGAGACAGTGTATTCCAACTATGTGCTTTGATTAAAGCAGTATTCATACTTACCACAAACGTAAGATAGCCTGACATCGCAAAAGGAGGGAGGGTGGCGTTACTGACCAGCAAACATGAAGGTGGGGAGATAAGTTCAATCC